TATCCATAAGGAACTTCAAATACGAAATTTAAAACAATTTCGGTGGATAATGTTGTTAAAATCATCAAAATATCGAATATAGGCAGATACCGTTATATGGGGACTATACGAAGACCTGGACCTGTATGAACAATTTTCTGTCATAGGATGTAGTACCCATTAGGAACATAAAATTCGAAATTTGAAATAATTCTGGTGAATAATATCACTCTTATATGGGGGGTTATACCAAAAATTTATATTTCGAGGTGTTACAAACGGAAAGACAAACTTAATATGACCTCCATACCATATCCTTTTCATGAAATTGTACATGTCTTCGTTAGCCCTACTAATTCGATCTTTGAGTTCTTGACGACTCTGGGCTGTTGCCGTTGACCTTATCTTTGACATGACCCAAAAAAGTAGCAAGGAGTTAAATCAAAATATCTCGGTGGCCAATATGAATCATCTTTTCGAGAAATGAACTCTGTTGTTGAAACTACACGCAAATTATAACCACCTTACTCCGACCATAAGCATTCATTAATCGTCTACCATACATATGTTTTATCCGATTTGGTGTTTAAGTCTCTCACTCCCGTAATATGCACTCTGCAATTATTTAAATTAAAAGCATACTAAGTCCAACATCCATAAATTACATCTAAAGAAATGTTTAAAATTTATCCTGCCCACTACGGTAAACGTAAAGCCTTCACCACCATCAAAATAGTCTAGCTGTACTACTCAAACCTTGACACGTCCAATTATTTCACAAAGTGGAAAATAAATATAAACGTTTATCTAAATATAATAAAAAGAGAACACAAATTAACCAACAATCAAAAGAAAATTGTTGAACAAGTCACAGGGATGACCACATGCACACACACAAATACACAATATACACAAGCAACACATCCTTTCGGTTGTGAACACACAAGTGAAATTAATGAGCATTGAACGACCATAAACGACTGGCAGACAAGAAGGCTATCTGCGTCAACAAACTTAAATGGGAAATAATAGCAAATCCCATTGAGATGTGAACTTTAACCTATGTCGTCTGGATGAAATCCAATAGAAAATAACAATCCGAAAGAAATTGCTAAATAAACATGGAGATGTTTACCAACATTATTGGCTGGAAAAGTAAACAAATGGTAAGTACCTTTCCCACCTCAATGGTGATAAGAGTCATTTGGTTGAATTCTAAAAATGGAAGAAACTTATATAGAGAACTCTGATATTTGCAATAATAGTCTAGTTTAAGGTAGGAGTAAGATATTTATATTAGGATATATACGATAAACGATTATTTTACAATTCGTTTTTACACCCTACACCACCTAGCGGTAAGGGTGCATTTGTTTGCAACAGGGAGAAAGAAGCGAGACAGACCCCTAATTACCTTTGAGGATCTTCACCGATTCACTCTTTGAGTCGATTTATGCATGTCTGTAGGTCCGTCCGTCCATGTATTCTTGTCAACAAAATACAGGTCGTATTTAATATCCCATTAAGATGAAATTTTGCAAACAATGTTTATTTGGTCCAAGGACGAACACTACTGAAATCGGTGACAATCGGATCAGATTTAGATATAGCTCTCAAATATCTTCAAACGATTTCCGGGTAAATTGCACACATAATGGCTAATATTAGTCTAAATTACCTGTATTTTGGTACATCCTACCGAATTCAGGTCTAAAAACAAGTAAATCAAATTTGAAGAATCGGATAAGATATAGCTATGGCTCTCATATATATGTTTCATCCGATTTGGTGTTTAAGTCCCTCACATCCGTAATATGCATTCGACAAAAATGATATTTGGTACCAGATATCTTAAAAAGTTCGGAAATACCTTTGCCAAATTTTATCGAAAATGTCAAAGATTTGGATATATCTCACAAACATATCCTTAATTCGATTTCAGGTTTATTGTCAAATAATGGCTAATATTAGCCCAAATCGAATGAATTTCGAGAGGTACGTTTCCATTTTGTGCACCTCGGCTCCGATATATATTTTTATACCCTACACCACAAGGTGGTCAGGGTATTACAACTTTGTGCATTTGTTTGTAACAGGCAAAAGGAAACGAGATAGACCCATAGTTCCTTTTGATGATCTGCATAGAATCACATTCTGAGTCGATTTATGCATGTCCCACCGTCTGCCTGTCCGTCTGTCCATGTATTTTTGTAAACAAAGTATAGTTCGCATTTATTGTCCTATAAAGATGAAATTTTGGACAAATCATTTGTTTGCCCCAAGGACGAACCCTATTGAAATTGGTGATAATCGGTCAAAATTTAGATAAAGCTCCCATGTATATATTCGTCCGATTTGCCTTTTATTGTGCACCAAACGTGTAATATCAGCCCGAATATTAAGGAATTTTGCACATACAACCAAATTAGGCTTGAAAATAAGTATGCTAAATTTGATCGAAATCGGTTCAGATATAGCTATAGCTCCCATATATATTGTTCATCCGATTTGTTATTTTTGTTCTCCGTAGCCGTAATATGCACTCTGTAACAACAATATTTGGGGAAATATATCAAATACAGCTCAGAAATATATTCGCCAAATTTTATCGAGAAGGGTTCAGATTTGGATATAGCTCTAATATATAACTTCGTCCGATTTACCTTTTATTGTGCACCAAACGTCTAATATTTGTCCAGATGGATTGGAATTTAACATTTACGACCGAATTGAGTCTAGAAGCTAGTATGTGAAATTTGGACGAACTCTATTGAAATCGGAGATAATCGGTCAAAATTTAGATATAGCTCCCATATATATCTTCGTCCGATTTGCCTTTTATTGTGCACCAAACGTGTAATATCAGCCCGAATATTATGGAATTTTGCACATACAACCAAATTAGGCCTGAAAATAAGTATGCCAAATTTGATCGAAATCGGCTCAGATATAGCTATAGCTCCCATATATATTGTTCAGATTTGGATATAGCTCCCATATATTACTTCGTCCGATTTACCTTTTATTGTGTACCAAACGTCTAATATTTGTCCAAACGGGATGGAATTTGACACTTACGAGTCTTAATTGAGTCTAGAAGCTAGTATGTCAAATTTCGTGAAGATCGGTTCAAATATAGCTATAGCTCCCATATATACTGTTCATCCGATTTGTTATATTTGTTACCCACAGCCGTAATATTCACTCCGTAACAAAGATATTCAGGGAAATATATCAAATACAGCTCAGAAATATCTTTGCCAAATTTTATCGAGATCGGTTCCGATTTGGATATAGCTCCCATATATATCTTTATCCGATTTCAAATTAATTGTGCACCAAATGGGCAATACAAGACTGAATTTAAAAGATACAAATGCTTCGGCATATTTAGTCCTTTATCCTCCCATAAAAATTTTTAATTGTTATGTGGAGCTCTACTTAATTAGAAAAGTGGTGTAGGGTATCATAAAGTCGGCCCCGCCCGACTTTAAGATTTTCTTTACTGGTTTTTAATATAATCCTCCTCTATAGCAAACTATAACGGCTCCAAAGCCAAATATTGATAGGCGGTATGATCTACTTGAAATAAATTATTTTGTTGCAAGAGCTCTAATAAATATGCATAGTGGTGTAGGGTATCATATAGTCGCCCCGCCCGACTTTTAACTTTTCCTTATTGGTTTCCTATTGAAATTGCAGATTTCCAGCTTTACCATTACACTCTATATGTTTCTCATTTTCTTATCCTAACATATATCGCATAATAGTGTCATGCCATAAATCATAACTTCAGAAATTCAAGGTGCAACAACAACACTTTTACAGAGAAACATACATACATTTACATGTCACGAATGTTTTTCGCATATTGGCAAAGACTGAAAAATGTTACTAAACGTTTCAAGACATTTTAAAATCAAATAAATTTTAAATCTGTCAACAAAAAAAAAAAAACTCCTTCGCAAAAACCTATAACCTAAACGTTTTTCTTTTAGCAAAATGTTACCAACACATGTTACCCCATGGATAAGTTATTATCATATTTTAGCAAAGTAGCATCTTAGAAATGTTAGAGCCAATGACATTCCGATGATAGTCACCCGCTCTGCGTCTACAACAACCCCTATACCTAACGTAATCCCATGTAACACCTGAATATAATGGCTTATATATTATTTTCATATTATGCAAATTTTGATTGTTTTCAGTGCCAAAATAAATTCACCGATACGTGAAGTTTTGCGAGCGCAAATCCTATAGCTTTAGCAGCACAACGTGTTGGATTTGTTAAAGGATTCTTCTTCTTCTTTACTTTCGCTCGAGTCAATTTGCGCTCATGTTTCTTTTTCTTTGCAGTAATTTTATACATTGAAGGAAAATATTTATGAGTGAAATCTTTTTTTGGAGGGTGTAATAATGTCGATAAAAATGCCTTTTGCCTTTAAAAAACTTGTCAAAAGACTTCTTCCACAACGTTCCGTTTATAGAGATTCATTCAGGCTTAAAGGGTATTCTGACTATGGAAAAACTCTTTTTTCTTTCCATAAAATGCATTAAATGGATCTTTTATTTAAATATTAAAAAAAAAAAAGAATTTATAATTGAAAATTTGAATTAATTCTTGTTGATATTTTGGACTGACTTTCGCCAGGATACCACAGATTTTCAAGAAAATTCCATTTGAACTTGACTTTGTAGGTCAAAAACAAAAAGGAGGCTTTCTTAGACCTTCATAAAAATTTTATACAAATTTATAGAAAGGGACTACTTCGGTTTAGATATATTTCGCAATACTTAGGATAGAGCTTTGAAATTTTATAGAAACCTTTGAATTACATCCAGATTCATTGGTACAAAAACGGTCATATCGGTCTACTCTTTTGGAATAGCAAGGGAAACTTCGAATTGAAGTATTTTTAATGTTTTTGTCATGTTTTCCATTTCATGTCGCAAAATTTTGGCATTTATAGTTTTTATTATACTATTTACAAAAAGTTATAGATAGAATCACAATATAATTTGCTCTAGAAAAATCCTTCCTTTGACGCTCTTAAAAAAATGAAGGGGAAATGATTTGGATTGGAAACGTCTTATTATCTGTAAAACAAATAACATATAATTTTAAATTGTAGTGAATAAATTTCGAATGTAATTCTCTTAAAAACTATTTTAACTACATAAAGAATATATTCTGAGAAGTGTAGTAAAATTTTGCATATAATATTACTGCTACTTTTTTGAACATAGATGTTAATTAAAACTAATTATTTATTTATTTATTATACCCTACAACACTATGTGTTGGGGGTATTATAAGTTTAATTGGGCCAAAAATTATGTAACACCTCGAAATATTGGTTTCCCACATAGGAAAGTATATATGGATCTTCCTATCTCGCCGAGCTGAGTCGATCTAGCGTCCGTCCGTCTGTCCGTCTGTCCATGTCAATTTGTAATCACTCTACAGGTCGCAATTATGGCCCGATCTTCACGAAATTTAGTATGGAGGTGGGGTTAAGGTCAGAATAGAACCTTATTTCATTTAGAGATGATCGCATAATATTTAGGGGTCGAATTGGAACAAAAAACTGAAAAAATTCCTGATTTTGCAATTGCTCTACAGGTCGCAATAATGGACCAATCGATGCGGAAATTAGCATGGCAATAGAGCTTGAGGCTGGGCTTCCAATTTTAATGGTCATCGAGTAATATTTAGTGGGTGAAATAGACTATAACATTTGTGTTAAATAAAAGTCAAATTTTCCATTAAACCGCGAATATTTTAAGTACCGGCGAAATCATAAATGAACAGGTCAATTCTGACCGTTACGTAGATGCCGATAGTAAATATATCGGATATATATAGCGAAATATATACAATGTGTATAAACAAAGGAAGGGGGTGTTAGCTAAAATGCTTATATCTCAAGAATGGCTAGACCGATTTTGACAAATTTTGTCAATTCTGAATGCCCTCCTGTCATAAAAGAATAATATCTAAAAAAATCTCATAGCAAGATGCCAATAATGATGTTAATATAGATTTTGTTGTATTTTGTGACATTTTTTTATTTTTTTTATATTTTTATTTATATTGAGGCGTACATTTCGTAATATTTTTTCACCTTACAACACATGTTGGGGCTATTATATACAGATTGCAATTATCGTCCGATTATCCCGAAAATTTTTACAAGGGCAGGGTAAGGCTCAGAAGGGCTAGGCCTATTGTTTTCAAAGATGCCCGCAATATATTTAGGGGTTGAAATGGACCAAAACTAAAAATGTTCCTGATTTTGCATAAGTTACAAAGGTCACAAATGGAAACCAAAGGACACGAAATCTCGCATGAGGTTAGTGTTTAGGTCGGCGGGTGGAATGGACCACTATTTTTGTGTGAAGAAATACCAACATTACTTACAGGCGATATCCGAAGTAAACAAAATGCGAACCTCTTGCTTTTATATGCTGATTTCGTTGACGAATATAGCCAAATATCGTAGACAAGCAAATCATATAGATGAGTCTAAATTTGGAATACAGAGAGGACTCTTACTTTTGGAGATGATCGCAAAATATTTAGGGGTTCAAATGAACCAAAAATAGAAAAAAACAAGTAAGCAAAGGCTACAGTCGAGCGGGGCCGACCGTTGAATACCCTACAACACTATAATAAACGATACAGTTTATATAGGCGAGAAACTCGAACGAATTCCACAAGATATTGTGACAAATAATAAAAGAAAACCATCAGGTTTCGTTCTCTAATTTTCAAATAATAGCAACTTAAACAAATTTGCTCATTTCCAATTTATTGGCAGATTTTGTACGTAAATGGTCTTCCTAGATCTGGAACCAATATTTCCCAAAGACCTATAATCTCTCAGAAGTGGCAAAAGATTAACATTTATCATTGGTTTTTGACTAAAACGCATCTATATGAGATACAGACATTTGACTATATTCTTCAACGAAATCAGCGTCAACGAAATAGTCAGAAGTGCGTCTTTCCTGTATTTGTGAATTCTCCAAAAAGTCACTGGAATGGACATTTTCGTATTTTGTCTACAAAAGTAGGCAAACTATTTCACACATTGAATATTTTTGGATGGCCATCCAAAACTGCTTGGCTTTTGCAATGTCCGGTAACCCCCATTCAAATGTGCGTGAGGATCGGGTGATAATTACGACCTGCTGACAATTTTGCAGTTTTTTGGTCCACTTCAACCCCTAAATATATGTCGACCATCTCCAAAAAGAATAGGCTTCTACTCTGACCCTCATCTTATCCCCATGCAAAATTTCGTAAGGATCGGGCCATAAATGCGATCTGTAAATGATATCCTGATATCCTAACTACTTAGTTTTGTTAGCTGTAGAAATATTACCAAATGTTTAATTCAAAATGAAAATATGCCAAAAATATGACAAAATATAAAATTGAAAAAATATGAAAAATGTTACAAAATCAGTATTTTCATCTTTAGAGAGATATTTCTATTCGATTTTTTAGACGTTTTTTGTTTCCTGCCAAGAGGCCATTCTGAATTAATGAGAACTGTCGAAATCAGTTCAGCCGTTCTCGACATATATGAGATCTTTCAAGCATATCTTTTTTGATAGGCATATATATCGCACATATATATCCGATTTGATGGATGTTAACATGAATGTAAAGATCAGAAGTAACCTTGTCATAGCTTTTGATTTCGCCGGGATTTAAAATATTCGCGGTTTAATGAAAAATTTTGAATTTTTTCAATACAAAAGATATGGTCTATTTTACCCGCTAAATATTATCCGATGACCACCCAAATTGGTAGGCTTCTTCCCCGCCCTAAACTCTAGCTACATGCGCAATTCCGCGTCGATTGGTCTATAATTGCGACCTGTAGAGCAACTGCAAAATCAGGAATTTTTTCAGTTTTTGGTCCATTTCAACCCCTAAATATTATGCGATCATCTCCAAAAGAAATAGGGTTCTATTCTGGCCTTAACCCCACCTACATTTTAAATTTCGTGAAGATCGGGCCATAATTGCGACCTGTAGAGTGATTACAAATTAACATGGACAGACGGACAGACGGACAGACGGACGGACGGACATACATAGCTAGATCGACTCAGCTCGGCGAGCTAGGAAGATCCATATATACTTTCCTATATGGGAAACCAATATTTCGAGGTGTTACATAATTTTTGGCCCAATCAAACTTATAATACCCCCAACACATAGTGTTGTAGGGTATAAAAATCTGATCAAACAATTGAAGCCAATAAACACGCCTGAGGAAAGAGTTAAGGACAGGGAAGAAGTCTACAACAACTAGCAGCACGATGAAGTGCGTAAATATTGGGCAAATATTCCTGGTCAAAATGCATAGGATAATATGTGGGCAGTGCTTCGTGACATAATTTCAAAAGCGAAATCTTCCAAAATAGGTTTGGACATAAGGGACATAAAATTTGTCATTCCGTTTTTAACTCGTCGAAATACGCATATCAGACCCAACAAAGAAAATATATTTTCTTGATCAGCGTAAAATTCTAAGTCGATTTAGCTATGTCCGCCCTGTCTGTCTGTTTTAATCATGCTATCTTTCGAACGAATTGAGGTAGAAGGCACATATGTGTATTTTGGTCCACGTTTCCTTCGTATGATTTAGACTCTTCACGTATTCTAGAATCTATAGTAGAATTTTATAAAAAAAAAAAATTGTAGAATATTTTGACTTGCTATAATTCCGTTTAAAGGGAGTTTTTTGCCATATCTTGAAAAAAAAGAACCAAGAAGGCCGTTTTGGTGACTCGCTTGAGGGTTTAGATTTTTGACCAAATTAATCAGTGGGTTTAATCTTCCTTACTCCCAAAAGACACAACATACCTGAAATCAACGGATTTCAAAGAATCTTTATCCAATTTTTTCAAAAAATTTGGATGTGGGGTTACCTTGTGATGAAAATGTAAGAAGCTCCAATACACGTTTATTCTATTTTAAGTTCTACTCTCATAGTTCCCGGGGAGTTTTCTGTAATTATAGAAGAATATTTTTGGCGCACAGTGTAATTTTTTAAGTATTCCGAGATTTCAATGCTTTCTATTGAACGTCCTCTGGTAACAGGATATATCGGCTCACGTTTTGTTATAATCACACTTATAACGATACAATTGGACTTTGAACATTCCAGAGAATTAGGACTCATTTTTCGAATGAACTAAGTTCTATATAATTTGGTATTCGGGAATCTCATATACTCTGTACGAAAAAGTTTTTCCGCCTGAATTCAGGGCTTAACTATAATTTGATATTTGCGACTCCAATGCAATAGGTCAACTACTTAAATATATCGAAATATTATATTACGACATCGCATGATTTCATGTATTATGAAGACTCTGCATCTGTTTTCCAAACGAATTGACTGTGATTTGGTATTTGAGCTCAAATTTCTAAAAAAATCGAAAACAGTTCATATTTTGGTATGAACCGTAATTTAGAATAGTTAGCATTAGAAATTTTCCTGTCAACATTTTAGAACAGGTTTTGTTTTCTATATGGTGAAGAATATTTCCAAAAATTCTTTTCTTTTTAACTCATCCAAATCAACTCCGCTGTTCATACCACCATCTCCTCTCCTTCCTTCGTTCCCTTAAATCAATATTTGATTTCACATGTTCACACGTAATTCCCCCCTCTCCATATTGTTTCTTCCCACACACACATAAATATTGATATCCTGGAGTGGTAAATCCCTATGTTAATGTAGAGCCTTGTTGATAACCCGAATTAAGTTTTATGTGTATATCAAGATACATATTGAACTTATCGCACCAGCAAAATAAAATCCTCCATGTCACCGTTTCATTGCCTCTGTACTGACATACAAATATGTTTTATTCCAACGATTTACAATAGGGGAAACAATTGTTTGACATTAGAAGCCATTTAGGTATCATGTCACGTTAAATATTAGGCTTAGACGCTATGTCATGGCTAGGGAAAATGTTGGAAATCTAAGATCGCAACTCAGGTATTACAATAAAATTTTTTTGATTAGATTTGCAATGCATTTGAATATAATAGCTGTCAATTGCGG